AATCATACTGACATGAATTTCATACATACTTTTCTTTCTGTGCTTTCACAATTACGTGGTTTGCAGAAGAGCCAAGTAAGATACATCCTACCATCTGTCTATTGCTGTTATGTTATGTATTGTTGGTGGAATATTATTTTATTTTACATTTTTTCATCATTAGCTGTATCTATTTCATGTGATACTAATGCTTGTATATTTATTCTGTGTTTCAACGTGTCAATAATATCTACTTTCCAAAATATCTTTTACCATCTTGTTACTTTAGCTATAGCCTTAAGGATATGATGTTTTGGGTAGCCACTTAATTGGTAGGACAAGTAGTATTACCATATGTCATATTTGGTATAGCATTGTTCACACACTCTCATCCTATGTGTAGTTGTATGTCACTTATCTCTTTACCATAAAATATACATGTATATTTCTTTTACCAGGTTCACCCAACAGTCCCCTGTCACCAAGTGGTCAGAACCAGAGCCAGCAGATTCCTACAAATAGACCAACTCAAGTCTCTTCTTCGTCATCGGCTGCAGCTGGTTCTGCAGACATCTCATCATTATGTCAGCAGCTTACACAGGGCTTATCCGAACTCAGTAACCAAGACCCCTTTGCTGATTTCACACCTACATCATCAACGTCAATGACTCCCGTTAGTCCAGTCGATATGTTCTCTCCAACAAGACAAGTACCAAGCAGAAGTGAGTGACCATCATAAATTGTTTTTAAATATGCATGCTATAAATCATAGATACCATATAATACTTCATATAAGCGCCAACCTGGATGAGTCGCCAGTACAATAGAAAAGGTGATAATTTTCACACCAGTCAAAGTTGAATGTCTCTGTATGGTTAAAATGATGAAATAGGCGCCAGTGAATTCCCCATCTGGCCAACGTCCGCCTAACACTTGAGTTAATCTTTTTGTAAATGAATGAGACAGTGTTTACTCTAAGATGCGTGATTGTGCGATTTCCCGCCTACTACACTTTGTGCACCCTTAAAAAAATACTCAAAGGGCGAAAATCGCCCCTTTCCTCACTGCCCATTGAATTCTTTTAATGATGGTATGTGCGTGTATTGGACTGTGACACGCCAACTAGCTTGCTGATACAAATAACAATCATCCTCCCACATATTTTGTTTAAAATTGTGCGTCCTTGTATTTAAAAACATCACCTTCTTCGGGTATGCATACGTAAGTTGGAATAGCCCGTATTGAGTTTCTGAAGTGTGTGTGTGTGTGTGTGTGTGTTAAGCAACTTGCCAAGGCAACAACTAATTGAAATGCAAATAAATTTTAACTTAGTTTCATCGCAATCGAATGATTCCGGTTGCATATTAAATGCTCGATGCTGGAGAATATCCGCCATGTTTTGACCTGGGACAGAGTTCTTTGACCTGGTAGGTCAAATCGCTAAATAACCAATCAAAATGGTGGATGGTCCTCAAATTACCATAGCTCATTTAAATATGTTAATGAAAGCATTTGTAGTACGATGGAAAAACGGCATGATTAGTTGTTTTCAAAAGATAAACTGAGCATTTGAGAATAGTTTAACAGTGATAACAGCTCATTGTCGAAATAAAGCTTACCCATTCACACTAGTAATGATAAAAATCATACTCTTGAATAGGCGCCAATGACTACGGTAAAACTTAAATTAGACTATTTTAGGCGTCTGGAATGATTTAAATGTCCGAAAAATGATGCCAAAATATTAAAAAATAACCAAACTGCCGTTTAACGACCAAGGGCGAATTTACAGCAGAATTCGGTACATTGCATAGACAGGATTACGTGTTAGTTCTGAGTGTGTGAAAAATGACTGACCTAAATTAAGCGTCATTTGCAAGAAATTTGCCAAAATGTGACCTCAAATTAGCGCCAGACAGAAATGAAAATGTATCAAAGGTGGCGCCTGTATGAGGTATTTTCTCTGCACATGCACTTACATGAATGACAGGTGAAAGTTTATGATCAAAATAAGTCGTATTTTAATGATTTCAGTGTCCATCAACTGCAATTGTTACGTTACATGTATTACCATTGGAGATGTGTTTCTAATAGAGCAATTACAGTATGCATACTATCAAATCTGTTGCATGATAATCGGGAAAATAAACCTAGAATTAAGAAAAGTCAGTGTAACTTAGATATGCACTTTCCCCAGGATTTTGTTGGTTTTTGGTACAAACATAATGTATTGTACTTTGATCTGTTGACCTCCTGACAGTCATGCCAGACATGAATCATATCATCTATAGCTGCAACGTATTTGTACATATATTGTTACATTACAATGTTGGGATTATAACTGTCAATTCTATCCCACCTGTAGGTCCCATTACATCACCCATTGCAGCAAGCAATACAGCATTACCTGTTAGACAAACCAACCCTTGGGAAAACTCAACACCCAAAGGAGTACAAGCTCAGCCATCTGAACCCACTTGGGCCACAGCGCAAATCCCAAACCAGCAAACCAAGCCAGCTTGGACACCTGGACACCGTCGCCAACTATCTGATGCTGACAAGTGGCTGGAGACTGCTTCTGAAACCGTTGCTGTTGTAAACAGTCCTGGTAACCCATTCGCATCACCTGACTCACCACAAATGGCAACGACTGTTGTCAAGAGTCGGTCTAACCCCTATAACTTATCTACTCAGAAGACAACACCAACATCTGAAAGGCCACCTCTTGTAAAGAGCCACACGATAGGTGATCCATTTACACCGCTGCCACCACAGCCGCAGCCACAGCAATGGCCAACTGGAAGTACGAATCAGCATAATGGATTTCAATCTTCTAATTACATGAATACAAAACCACCGCCCGTTGTGCCACAAAGAACTTATAATGGTGGCTTGAACAGTTCATGGACTAACAATACACATCAAATATCAGCACCATTCCAGTCAGCTCAACAACACCAAGTACATCAATCAGACTTTGACGCCCAGTGGAATGCCTTAAGTAATGCTCAGCCATCTCACACTGAGAATCCATTTGCAAACGCTGTCAAGACTTTTGAAATCAACCTGTGAGGAGAACGTGTACTCTTTGTGCTTTCACTGTATTTAGTGTTGCAACATAGTTATAATTGATGGAAAATAAGTTTCAAAATATACATTTAGTTGTATATTAGTTGCGTGTGGACCAATAACTTGACACTTTAAGAAATGAAAACACACGTACAGGGAACAACATATCTGTAGAGGCATTTTTACAAAGTCACATGCAATTTCAAAATGTTCGCCAAGCCGAGATACTGATATAGATTCGTTTAGTGTACAATCTGTGGAAAGTAATATTTTTTAAATGTTCATGTACCCCCAAAACCATTTCACATACCCCCAAAACCATTTTACGGACCCCCAAAACCATATATTATATATAAATAAATAAATAAATAAATAAATATTAATCAATGTGTAATTGCACCCATAGAAACACATCAGTTTTATCTGATTAGAATATTTCAACGTTAATGCTTTCTCACAAGATGTCTATATCACTTCCTGTTTTTAACATTTTATTTTCATTTTTTTTTATTAGTGTTTGTTTTCTGCCTATGTTTGACATTTTAATCAGTACTCAGCTGGAGCTCAAATATATTGGCTAATTTGATCACTGCGAATGAGTGATTGTATAAAATAATTTGTTATTCTCTGAATTTACAGATTTTGAAAAGAATATTCATCAAAAGAGCATGTATGTATTGGATTAGGCAAATCAACTCTGTTTAAGACGCGTTATATTTTTGATTTGATTTGATGGATGTTCCATCAGTTTTTATTCTTTGTAACATGGATGTATAAAATCACCAGATGAAAACTAAGAATAATTTGTAAGCGCTGCACATACTAATATGTCCTAAGACGTACCAATATGACATTACTATTCAGTCAATGATTGATTGAAATTTTTACAATTTTTTTTAAATCTTGCATTTATTTTATATATTTTTGAGAATGAATGCCAGTTTGAACGCATCAAACTATTTTTCTTCTATCAGTTTGATTGCAAATGTGGAAAAGAATGACTATTTTGTTGAGTATGTGGAATGGATAGCGTTACAAATTTACTGACTTTCACAGCTGGTGGTATCAGATCACTTTTATTTTAATCAAACAATATTTATTTCAAGGTTTCATAATGCCCTCTTTACGGAATTTGATATCTCAAAATTTTAAAAAGATTATTTGGGTCAAACCATTTTACATATACTATTGGGTGGCACAGGTCATGAAGAATGGGAGTGCAGGGCACAATCATATGTTCTTTGTACCATACCCGTTTGTTTATTGCATAATTTAATTACGGTATACATACACTTTGTTGTCTTTCAGGAAGCAGTGTTAGGTCACCTGATCCATCAATCTTTGGTTTTAATGTTAACACTTCATCCGATTAACCTATTTGTATATCATTCAACCAATGGTTGACTTGTATCCCAACTCATGGACCATTAAACCAATGCTTTCAGGTAATTAAATACAATACTGATGTCTGTGTAGCTTGGTTATGACATTGACCTACCTTGATTCCATTTGGTTATAATTTCAGGATCTTTCCAGATAGTTTTATTTATTATATTTCACAAGCAGGAAGAAGTTTTATTTCCATATCTCTGTATTCCATTAGTATATATTGCTGTACAAATGAATCTTGGTTTTAGAAACCTCAGCAATATTTGTTGCTGATATTTTAGTAAATTCAACTTAAATAGTGCTTATTCTGACCTTTAATAAAATATCTAATAAAAGCTATTGGTTTTATGGTATTCATTGTGGCGTGTTGACTGTTAAATTTACTTTAATCCTAAGCTTTGTCCTTTGAGCATGACATTTCCCCCCACAAAATGGCTGTGCATTTTGTGTGTTTGAGAAAAAGAGTTAAGTTACGAAATTGGGCAACTTAATTTAATTTGTTAAGGTGCTTATAAAGGGCTTCATGCATAAATTGGCAATCCGCTCCGATTGCCATTAAAATCACTTTCAAGTGTGTGCGATTTCCAGTGTTTTCACGTATTATTTCTTCTGTGATTTTTTTTGGCTTGGTCGATTTCGCTCAAACTTGGCAGGTAGGTCACACCTTCACCCTAGTTATTCGGAAAAATCTAAAAAAACAATTTTGGTCCACTGTTGCCATAGCAACAGACAAAAAAACAGATTTTTTGGTAAGCTTAGCGCCAAATGTATCTCCTACAAATTGAGGATAAGACACTTCAGACATAGCTCATTCTACTCAGCTTGAGTGTGGGCACAAAGTTACTATTTGAATTTTTTATATCTTTTTTCATTAGGGAGAAATTTGACCCCAAACTGTTCACTAGGAATGGCTTTTCAACTCTTCTGTGATTTTTTTGCCTGGGCCGGTTCATACTTTGCAGGCAAGTCACACCTTCACTCTAGTTAGGTTGTAAAATCGGAAAACATTTTTTGTCCCCCATTTCCATAGCAACAGCCAAAAAACTGATTTTTTACTTTTTCGACTTCTTGTTAAAAACCACAAGTCCAATTGCTTTGATACTACATATATAGGTACTACATGTGGACCTCTCTCAGATTTGTTCATTTTGTGATGATATCTTCAGTTCTCTAATTTTGGTGAATATTTTTGTCATTTTTGGTAAAAAGTGATATTTTCGAATTCTTGTTAAAAACCAAAAGTTCAATTGCTTTGATATTACATATATAGGTACTACATGTGGACCTCTCTCAGATTTGTTCATTTTGTAATATCTTTAATTCTCTAATTTTCATGAATATTTTTGTCATTTTTGGTAAAAAGTGATATTTTCAACTTCTTGTTAAAAACCACAAGTCCAATTGTTTTGATATTACATATATAGGTACTACATGTGGACTTCTCTCAGATTTGTTCATTTTGTAATGATATCTTTAATTCTCTAATTTTCATGAATATTTTTGTAATTTTTGGTAAAAACTGATATTTTCAACTTTCTTGTTGAAAACCGCAAGTTCAATTGCTTTGATACTATACATATTGTTCATTTTCTAATGATGTCTTCAGTTCTTTAATTGAAATGTGCGGAGCTATCTCAGCCGATAGGCTGCTTGTTTGGTTCATCTGTTGAATTTCCGGTTATATCTTAGTTTCATAATGCGCAT